CGGCGATTTAGCATTAGCGGTTGATAATGTCAGCTATTAATGCAATAATATATGGCATTAAGCGTTGCAATTGCAACGCTTAATGCTGTTGGTATCATTAAGCGGCGTTTTATCATTAGAGGTTGCTACAATGCATTCTGAATTTTCAAAACAATGAATACATATATCTACACATCTTTTTAGTGTCAGTGATACTATAACAAGTTTTTTGCTCACTGTGATATTACCTTTGGTTTTTATGTTGTGAGTGATAAAACCTAAGGTGTTTAGTTGCCTGGGACAATACCTTCTGTTTTGTTGTCAGTGATAGAACCTTGGATTTTTTTTGTTGTCAGTGATGTAATACCTTGGTTCTTTTTCTTGTTAGTGATAAAACCCTGGATTTGTTGGTTTTTTGTTGTCAGTAATCTGTACGAGTTTTGTTGTAAGTCATGGTAATTTAGTTTTTTTGTCCTAAGTGATAATAGTGAGGGTTTTTTGTTGTCAATGATAATACCTTGGGTTTTTTGTTGTCAGTGATAATACTGAGGGTTTTTACTTGTCAGTGATAAGACTGAGGGTTTTTTGTTGTCAGTGATAATACTGAGGGTTTTTTGTTGTCAGTGATAATACTGTGGGTTTTTACTTGTCAGTGATGATACTGTGGGTTTTTACTTGTCAGTGATAAGACTGAGGTTTTTTTTGTTGTCAGTGATAATACTGAGGGTTTTTACTTGTCAGTGATAAGACTGAGGGTTTTTTGTTGTCAGTGATAACACTGAGGGTTTTTTGTTGTCAGTGATAATACTGAGGGTTTTTTGTTGTCAGTGATAATACTGAGGGTTTTTTGTTGTCAGTGATAATACTGTGGGGTTTTTTGTTGTCAGTGATAAGACTGAGGGTTTTTTGTTGTCGGTGAAAATACTGTGGGTTTTTTGTTGTCAGTGATAATACTGTGGGTTTTAAATTGTCAGTGATAATACTGTGGGGTTTTTTGTTTATAATATTGTGGGTTTTTTGTTGTCAGTGATAATACATTGGGTTTTTTTTGCAGTCAGTGAAACCTTGGGGTTTTGTTGTCAGTAATAATACCTTTGTTTTTTTATTGTTGTCAGTGACAATTACTTGGTTTTTTTGTATTCAGTAATATGATACCTTAGGTTTTTTGTTGACTGTGAAGGCCAGCAGACTCTGATACACTCGTTGTGTGGAGGAGTTACTCCATGTAGCCTGGTCCTGAACTCTAAGCAGCAAAGCAAGACACAGCAACAACTACAAATTTTAAAAAGAAATTTACACATGTTAAAAGTTTTGGCACAATGTCAAGCACCTGCAATTGGAATTTTAACTTAATGAAAAATCCACAGGTTTTGTGGCCTTCTGTTTCCGAACATATTTCTGGACAAGAAATTTTTATCAAAAATTGTGCATCAGTCTGAAAAAATGTAAAGACTTAGATAGACTTTAAAGTGTCAGACTAATTTGCAAAGACTTGGATAAATTTCAAAGTGTCAGACTAATTTGCAAAGAACAGCTGTGGCAGTAACAAATGCTTTATAGAAATTGGTTTCTATTACTGGAAATCTAAGTACTTACAGACTTAAGGAGAGCTGGAGAATGTCCCTCACTGTACTTAACAAGGACATCCAGAAATTCTTTGGAAATCTCCGAAAACCTACTCTTCAGGACTGGGGCAGGAACTCTGTAAATAAGAAACAGTTCTGATGCAATAAATATCTAAGATTTTAGGACAGAGATACAAACAAATTTTCTCTTTGGAGGATACTTAATATCATGTCACAGGTTTAGCAAAGTATATAATTTTCACAGCATTTATATCAGTGATTTTAGAAGTATTTCCATAAAACAATCAAATCTGCATCTCACTAAAATTTCCATTTATACAGTAGTGTAGCTGTGTACATGGGGACTAACCTTTTCATGACTAAGCTGAGGAGGTAAGCCACGGCTGATACTGAGTCTTCTCCCTCTGTTGTCTCCAGCGCTGTCATCTGTTATAGTAAAATATCAGATCACAATTAATCTGTCCTCATATTATAGAGTAAAACTTGTTTAGTACAAAAAAAATCACACAAAGTCTGCTAATGAGGTATTTCATTAATCATTATACATCATTTTCTGGGTCTTTTTTAAACAGTTTAAGATAAAATGCACTGTAAACACTGTAAACATGATAAAACAGTAAAGCTGAAGTAAAACACCAACCAGAGCTGCAAAGTATTCCGTTTCTGATTCAGAGCCTCCCTGGGTTTTTATCACCTCCGTAACTGCCGCTAACACAGCTAACACCTATAAAAGAAAGCCTTATGAGTGTCAATTACTCTTTCATTTCTTTGGAAAAAAATCATCTTGTTGTAGTTTTCTGAAACTAACAAGAATGAATATTCTATTGAAAACTATCAATAAACTTTGTATTTATCATATTTTCTGTAACTATATAGAAAAGTATTGCTTTTTTTCTTTTCTGGCAAACTTCAAAAACAAAAAATCTTATAATTCATGTTCATCAAAGAATAAGAGGGATCTACTGAAAATTTTTAATTATTAAATCTACTAAAATAAATGTGAAAGAAAAGAACTGTTGATGAAACTGTTGAAGACTTTAAAAAGAGTATTTGAACCAGAAACCCGATTGCACCAGTTTCTAATGGAGATTTAAAAACAAAAGATCTTCTCTCTGCCTCCCAAATTTGTGAACACCTGTGTCACTTATTGCAAACAAATGATGAAAACATCCTCTATAATAATTTCATTTACCTCTTTATGAAAAGCCGAATTTGATGCCCAGTACCTATGAACTCGACTAAATGTTGTGTTGGTACACTCTGTCCAATTTGTCGCCCAGGTATTAAACGTCTTTCCGGCAGCACTGACAACATCTGACTCTGCTCGCAGACTTACATCTCCATCTTTATCTAACTGTTCTTCATCATGTCTAGCCAAAGCATCAACCGTAAGACTACTTTCTCCTGCTCCAAAATAATCAAAAAGCAAGTAGACAGTGTCTGTATGCAAATCATAAGCCTGCATTTAGGTGTGCAGAATTACCAGATTTTATAATTGATCAATGAAAAAGAATTTGAAGGATATGCAAAATGTACTTTAGCTGAATTATGTATATATAGAATAAATATCATACTATACGAGGGTTGTCCGTAAAGTTCGTGGACAAGCCAAAAAATTAATAAAAGTTGTGTCATTGATATTTATTATTGTCATATTTCTAATTCTTTACTTAATGTGAATTGAAAAATGTAAAAATTTATTCAATTTCAAATATTTAATTACAATTATGGCTTTATAATTAGACTTGGAATGGAGACCCGGAGCACCGCCAAATTTTAATTAAAAAAATGTTTATCACTTTTTAAATTTCATTTGTATTTTTAAAAATTCTGAGGAAATCTGAAAGAAATTTACATTATGAGATTGACAGAAGTTACCACATCAAACCTGCAAAATTTGAACATTAAAAGTTTCAAAATGGCCGAGAAATCAGCGTTAGAACATATTAAGACAGGATCGGAATCGTTAAAAGAAAAAGACGTTTTCGGAATAGGCGGAGCAGTGAACAGTGATAAAATTCTGCGTTGACATCGGAAAAACACCTACAGAGATGAATACATTCTCTAAACAATCGGGAAAACATAGTAAAAGAAGTCGTACACTAGTATTTAAGTGGTATATAATATTTTCGGACGGAATGAACAGTTTACAGGATGACATGCGTGAAGGAAAACCATTATTCCGAGATTGCAGTGCTGTAAAATTTGAATTTCGTAACGTGATCATGCCGTATTTCCGTAAATGAAATCGTCTTTACACGGACAGTGGTTGGATGATTGCAGTATATGAAGCAGACATTGTTAAAATTATTTTAACAATGAAACCTGAACATTTTGTGCATATTTTTATGACTGGTCAAAACGACATAAGAATTGTATCGAGTTAAACGCTGACTATGTTGAGAAAAGTTACATGTGCTTGTATTTAGCTTATGACGTCGGTAACGTCAAGAATTTTCGTTTTAGTGCTCCGGGTATGAGTGTGTGTCTTTTTTGTATCTGATAAAAATATAACTATTTATGCTTGGTTTTTGTTGAAAACTTGCATATTTATAAAATGAAACATGAATTTAATGAAAATAATAGATTCAAATATTTTGTCAATGTTTGTCAGTAATTATCAATGTTGTCCACGAACTTTACGGATAACCCTCGTACAGTCTGTATATGAATAAGTCACTTGGTAGTGCATCTGTTGGGGAATTGGAATTATGCAATATCCTATATTCACTTACCCACAGAAAGCTCTTAATTTCTTAAAGCAACACTAAAGCAAAGAAAAAATCTGACTACATGTACAGCATGTACAGATTGAGCCAAACCATTTTTTTTTTCGCAGTTAACTCATTACCAATAGTCAAAACTACTCCATATATTGCGTATACACAACATAGCACCAAACAAAGTTGATAAATTTAATACTTTGAAATACACATGAGAAATAAAGGATTTTGCAGACACATTTTATTGGATATTATTCATCAGGTCTGTAGGGGGTCCCTGACAGAACTAACACCTTACATCTCCAACATAACATTCTAGACCTCCCACATGGCTTCTGCAGTTTAGGAAAAACAGATCTTAATGAATATTGAATATGTATTAGTTTAATTTCTATTATGCAAAACTGCACTTGCCCCAACTGACACACTGCCGATAAAATATTTTCACCAGGAAGGGCCAACCAAAACACAAATAAGTCGTAGTTTATAAATATTTATTTACCTTATTAATATGCTTTAAAAAAAAAGTACATATCAACACAGATCAATAAGGTACATATAAGTCAGTCCTGTGGGCCAAACATTAAAATTTTTACATATACAAGTAAGACCAGAGACAGAAATAACGTTTTTTTTTCCTCTGGTAAGAAAAAAACTTAAAGAAGCAATCTAAATAGGAATCAAAATAAAGCTGGAAACTATATTAACAAAGTACCTTTCGATGACGATGTTTGGAAAAATCTGTTTTTGGCAGCCTCTCTATATGTTTTAGTTTCAGGATTACTACTGCTGCTTTGGCCTTTCTTCCATCTTTTTCCTTTTCCCTTCTTTTGTTTATTAACTTCTTTAAGTTGTTTTTTATTCGAACCCATTGCTGAACTACTATAACAAGAATAAAAACATTGTCAACATTCTCACACGTGCTACTCCATTTTACCGGAAATTATACATTACTGGATACCGATCCCGATACATTTAAAATCGAGACCGCAAACTCTGAAAATCAGTCATTTTTAATTTTGATAATAAAAACCAAGCTCTTAATTACCGTCTTGGAAAGACAGCCTGAATTGTGTCCGACATGTATACGTCTGTTTTTTAAATGTATATTGAAACAGAGTTGCCTGAAGATGATTAGAAAAGAAGTGGAAATTCATAATTGATGAAGGGGGGGGGGTATATATCTATTTCCAGAGGAACACGGTAAAAATGAAATGTAATCCTTCTATGTATCAATGAGAAAAGAGCATTTAAAAGAAATTATTGATTAAAGTTATGTAACATAAAATTCAAACAACTTTAGAATTGACTCAAGATTATCATCTCCAAGATCAAAATGACAGCTTCACTGTAAAATGTGCCCAAGAGTGGATCCAGCGGTCATTTTTTTTTTAATTCACTTTGATTAACTTATTAATTTTACAATTAACTCATAAAATAAAAATAACATGAAAGGAAATATAATTAAGTAAATAAACTAGACGAATAAATAAATAGATAAAATGAATAAATAAAATAAAAAAAGATAAAATAAAATAAATAAATAAGATCAATGGTCTAAGCGAACACTTCCCCAAAACAGACACATTACAAGACCCTCCATCTTTGAGGACCCTAGCTGCGAAAATACTTTGAAAAAATTCACGAGAGACTACTGGCTCGTCCTTTTCATTGTGTCAGATCGAATCGACGATCTACAGAATTACATGTAAGTAAGGGAGTTCTCTTTTGCATGTCATATTGTCCAAAAACAATACTCTCTACTTGACCACCTGACGGAAAATTTGCAAACTGCAATCTGACTCTCATTCCCTGATTTTAAATAAGACTCAGAAAAAAAGTTTCACAGTCCACAAAACTTTGTGAATCTGTAAAAGTCACCGTAACGATCAATTAAATGATTGTATGGCAGCATCTTTTAAAATTTGGTTAGATTAGATTTAATTCATTTTTTTTCAAATCACCACCCTCTTCTTTGCCACTACTGGGCTTTGGTGAAATCAAACATATTTAAACTTTTTCATATATTGAACTGGTTTCTGCTTTTCTCTTATTCATTTATAGTGTTCAGTTGAGTGATGTGTTCCATGGGCCTTTTTGTTTTCCTCTCGGCATACAAGCACCTAGCCAGTGCAATATAATACTGTGCATGAGGCGCATTATGGATTTTTATTTCATCAGATGGTACTGGTATTGTAAATGTACATTTTAAATACATTGTATAGAATTTAATATTCATTTTTTTCATATTTATATACATGTTATACGCAAAAAAAGAAAAACAAGATGTGTTTGTGAAACACTATGCGCCCGGCGGCAACAAAGTTCGAAAAAAGCTATTCTTAGCATATAGGTCACACTCAAGGTCAAAAGGTCCTTGACCTTGGTGTCATTTGAATGAACTTAGTTAGTGGAGTATGCATATTAAATTTGAAGTCTCTATCTTTCACTGTTCTAAAGTTATGGCGAAGGCTAAAGTTTGCAGAAAAACAGACAGACAAAAACAATGTACGCCCTGGATCTATCGATCCTGGCGCATAAAACGCCCTGGATCTATCGATCCTGACGCATAAAAGGCCCTAGATCTATCGATCCTGACGCATAAAAAGACATTTAAAGACTTCATCTCATTGTTATGTAGTCCAATTATTTTATAATTTTTTTTCAATTTTAATTTAATTGTTGTAGCTTGAATTATACTACAGACTGGATTTCATACCCAAAGGTATCCTCAGGCAGTCGGGATGAACTCCAAGGTCGGGCCAAAATAAAAAATACCTTTATATGCTTAAAAGAAAAACACAGGCGCATTCACAGGCACCTGTTATTTATTTTTCTTTTGATAAAAAAAATTAAATACCCTACCTAATGTGTATTAGGTAGGGGTATAATTTTTTTATTGAAAGAAAATTAAGTAATGTAATTTAGAATTTTTGTATTATTCCCATTTTTTATACACTGTAATTGAATAAATCTATTAGTTTCAAGTGTGTAATCTTTTAGCTGCAATAATGCAGCCCTCTCCCTTTTCGTTTTGGAGAGGGGTGGGGTGGATGTCAGATTAGAAAAAATCGGAAAGGACTACATTATTGCAGCTAGGAGAGGCTCTCCAGAAAATATCAGATAAAAAAAAATCGGAGAGGGTTACATTATAGCAGCTGGTAATCTTTATACCCAGTGCAAGATTTTATTTGAAATTACCCAGGGTATTTATTACTGACAGATTGTAAACATATTTCGTAACTCTTATTTAAGAGATTTACGTCGGACCAGGCGGTTGAGTAATAAATTCAATCACTATCAACAATAGATCAAATATTTCATGTAAGTGGTCAGTGTTCTCAGGTGATAACAATGTTGATTTTGGCCATACTTATTGACTTTGAACACGTCATACATGTAAGTACTGAAAAAGTTAGCAAGTTGTGGCATTGTCGTGGAAACCGGTTCTGGGGTATATAATGGCCATGCGCGCCCTGACAACCTCAGTTGTGGTTTCTCTAAAATAAGATCATAAAGTCTTACTGCTTGTTATCTTTTAAGGTACGTACATGTATAATTTATCCAATCATCTCTATGTTATTCATGTTTATATACTTTTTTAAAAGTTAACGCAACTAGCTATAGACTGGTATATGTTGAAAAAAAGAAAGGTTATTTATCATTTATTTTTTCTCAGGGGGTTTTGTAAAGTTAATTATTTTATTGGTATTTCAGGTGCGGTTTCTCTAAAATAAATTGTAAAGTCATAACTTGTATTCTTTTAAGGCCAAAATTACAGAGACTGAATTCAAGTCACACTACCATCCCTCACTAGCTAAGCGGGAATAAAGCAATACCAAAACACCAAATAATCTTATGAAAATCTGGTGGAGAATCTCTTGCAAGACCCGGACGATCGATCTTCGCAGTGGACGGCAAACTAACTTCCAGGGAATGCTCCCAACAGGATCAACAACCCCAACAGAGCCACCCTCTATAAGATTGCAAGGGCTGATGAGGGCAACCAGGATCCTCCAAGACACACCATTTATTAGAGGTGCAGTTTTGTCCTCTTCTGTTTCTTCTGCGTCTTTATTAATATCTTCAGCGGGTTCTGCATGCCTTGCTCTATGTATACATGTAGCAATAACCGGTGTCGGTAAAGTACTGTGTAATATGTACGCGCGGGCACCTGACATTTTTTATAAGATTATTTGGTTACTCCCAATTGGATCAACTACCCTAACAGCGCCACCTTCCGTATAAGATTGCAATGGCTGATGAGGGCTGGATCCTCCAGGACACCAATTACATGTGTATCCTCATGTTCTCGTCCACCTCCTCCATCATCTTCATACTCATCGCCACATTCATCTATATGTCAAGTTGCGACGCCACAGGAGTCAAGACATACATGTACTCCGAATGTAATAAAACTTTCACCGTACAATCATGCTGAACCGGCCAGCCAGTGGTGGTCATTGTTCATGGCCATGGTGGCATATTTTGATATGTCAGAATCGATGGCATTGTCGGCCTTTTCGTTCTACTTGGGTGACATTCCCAAGCAATGGTATTTTCAATTAAGTAATTTCGCAACATCATCTTTAACAAATCTCAAACAGGCATTCTTAGAAAGATTTCAAAAACTAAAAACAACATTTGACGTAAATATATTGAGTCTAAAACAGTACCAAGAGGAAACGGTCGATGACTACATGGCCCGTGTAACGCGTTTAACCACTGAGTATGATCTCCCCATGCACTTAATTGCTAGTTGGGATTACTATTCAGGGGTTACAATAATACCTGAAGCAAATAGTAATGCCTCAGAGTCCAGAAATGTTAGAAAAAGTAAGAAAACTAGCTCTTGTGGCGGAGCAGACTATTACATGTAAATCAACGGAAACTGCAAACGCTTCACTTGCAGCTTCCACACAGCAATTGGAAGACCAGTGCAAGGTCAGATGCTATGATACTTTTTGTAATGTAAAGGTGTTGTCAGATTATTACCTTATCCTTATTTACAAATTGTGTAATCGGACCAGGCGGTTGAGCAATAAAATCAATCACTATCAATAGAGCAAATATTTCATGTAAGTGGTCAGTGTTCTCAGGGGATAACAATGTTGATTTTTGGTCAAACTTATTGACTTTGAACACGTCTTAAATGAATTTATGAAATACGAAATTCTAAATTTGGCAAAGGTTAATTCTTAATTAGAATTATGAAAACACTGATCAAAAGATGACCACATGCGGTCATATCTCATGGGTACTGAAAAAGTTAACAAGTTGTGGAATTGTAATGGAAACCGGTTCTGGGGTGTATGCCATGCGCGCCCTGACAACCTCAGTTGCAGTTTGTCTAAAATAAAATTGGAAAGTCTTACAACTTGTTTTCTTTTAAGGTACGTACATGTATATTCAATAATCTCTATGTTAATCGTATTTATATACTATTTTAAAAGTTAACGCAACTAGATTGTAATATGTTGAAAAAAAATGAAATATTATTTATAATTTATTTATTTTCAGGGGATTTTGTAAAATTAATTATTTTATTGTCATTTAAGTTGCGGTTTCTCTAAATAAAATTGTAAAAGCTTACAACTTGTTTTTTTTTTTAAGGCCAAAATTTACAGCGGCTGTCAATTCCAGTAACACTACCATCCCTCACTAGCTAAGCGGAAACCCAGCTCAACTAAAACACTCAATATTAACTATAAAATAAGGTTGGGTCCTGTGATATGGTTTTATGCATGTACATGTAGTTTCATATTCGAAATCGGAAAATCTATAAGTATGAAACACAGGCTGAAAATCTAAATTGAAATTGCGCATTGCATACTTCTTTCGTGCCTTTGTTTACATTTAATTGCACCTGCATAAATTTTCAGTGTTTAATGTTTGATTGTATTTACATTGCATGCACGAAAAGTTTGACATGCAGATG